CTGCCCCAACCTGCTACAAGATTATTCCCTGCACTACATTTTCTAGTGCTTTGTAAATGATTCCACCACTTATCTTTGAGAATCTATTCCCACAGGCTAATGCACCTTGTGGTCAGGAAGTTATAAAATAACACTTCAGTAGAAATACAATAGGCAGAGGCGCTGATGGGCACTTGAGTGAAATAATGACCTTTACTCTGGTATTTTAAAGCATTTATTGTTGCCCTTTCAAGGTGGAGATACAGTAACAAATAGAGTAAATAAAGTGAATATCTGATGAGCATTTTAATAAATCAAAAGTTTTCTGGGAGAAAAATTCAGTTCAGATGCTGCAGGTTTCTCACTAACTTCTTCTGCTACATGCCTAAATCATGCTCATTTACACTGGTGTTACTAAGAGTAGGATATGACCCACAGTCTCCTATTTGCACCCAAAGAGACAAACACACAAAGACAGAGACACACGTAAGAGCTGGTTGCCCTTGGTGTATGCCCTGCAGCCAGTAGGAAGGTTCTGGCAGGCTGGATCTTGCTTTGGAATCTCTTATGTTAGGGGTGTTTGGTGTAAAAATAAATATTGGAGGGGAACTTAACCCTGCACTGCAGCCTCTCTGTGATGGCTAAATCTCTGCAAAAGGGCTGTTCCTGGAAATATCTCTGCTGCAGGAGATACTCTGCAGGAGTCACAAAGCTAGCTCTATGCTCCCCTTACATCAGGCCCCATGTGCTGGTGTTCTAGTGTAGGCCTATAGCAGCCTGATGATTCTGTGCTCTACCAATGGCCCATAGAGGCCACTGAACAGGGCCACAAGTTAAGGTAGTTCCCAGGGCTCCCTTAGTCTGATCTGGGGGCCAAACAGTAGGCAATCTATCAGCAGCACAAGTCAGTGTGTGGGCCACTTGCTGAACAGAACGGAGCTGCTGAGGGCTGTTGGGAGTGGGCATGCTCTTTTCTGCAACACGCAATGAGAGCTACAGGTCTTTCAATCCATTCATACTGCAGCAGCCCTCAGAAGGAAAGGATCATCTCCTCTGCTGCTCCACGGGGTGGGGGGGGGGGGGAGATCTGGGGACATTCCCTAGGACTCTGGAGCAGTTTAGTGTAGGGTTATGGGAAAAGCACCTTTCCCCCTCCCCCAAAGTAAGGGAGAGACAACTGTGTGTAGTTATCAGGGCTGCTCTGAGCTGGAATACACCAACCCACTAAGGTACCAGTAGTGGACTACGACTTGGAGGCAAGGACTGTAGCTGCCTCAGCATAGGTTTGCCAAGTGTCTGGTTTTTGACTGGAACGCCTGGTCAAAAAGGGACCCTGGCAGCTCCAGTCAGCACCACCAACCGGGCTGTGAAAAGTCCGGTCAGTGGTGCTGTGGGTCTAAGGTTCTGGTTCTGTACTGTTCCCAGGAAGCGGCCAGCAGGTCCGGCTCCTAGGCGGGGGTGGGGGGCCACGGGGCTCCACACGCTGTTCCCACCCCAAGCACTGGCTCTGCACTCCCATTGGCCGGGAACCACAATCAATGGGAGCTGGGGGGGTGCCTGCAGGCCAGAGCAGAATGCGGAGCCTCCTGCTTCCCCACCCACCTCTCAGCCAGACCTGCTGGCTGCTTCCTGGGAACAATACAGGACAGGCAGGGAGCCTGCCTTAGCCCCGCTGTCCGGGAGCCGCCCGAGGTAAGTCCAGCCCCAACCTCCTGCCCCAGCCCTGAGCCCCCTCCCACACCCTGAACCCCTCATCCCTGACCCCACCCCAGAGCCCATACCCCCTCCTGCACCCAACCCGCAGCCCCCTCCCGCACTCCGAATCCCTAGTCTCCACCCAACAACCTGGAGCCCCCTCCTGCACCCCAAACCCCTCATCCCCAGACCCACCCCAGAGCCTGCACCCACAGCCGGAGCCCACACCCCAACTCCCTGCCCCAGCCCAGAGCCCCCTCCCACACCCTGAACCCCTCATTTCTGGCCCCACCATGGAGCCTGCACCCCCAGCTAGAGCCCTCACCTCTGCCCCACACCCCAACCCCTTGCCCTAGTCCAGTGAAAGTGGGTGAACGTGCGGGAGAGCAAGCCACCAAGGGAGGGGGAATGTAGTGAGTGAGGGGCAGGGCCTTGGGGCAGGGAAGGAGTGGGGCTAGGGTGTTCAGTTTTGTGCAATTAGAAAGTTGGCAACCCTACCTCAGCAGCTAGCCCCAGAAACCACTCTGACACATGGCTGAGTGAAAGGGTATTTTACTTGGGTAGGCAGGAAAGGGCAAGGTTGCAGTCTAGATACCCTAGGTACAGAAAGCTTAAACAGTTACAGTTCACAGTGAGCAATAGTGGCTCTTGTTTAGGCTTGGGGGAGGGGAGGCAGTCCAATTGACAGGGCTCTTCAGGCCCAATGGCTGGGGTGCCCTCTCCAGTCCAGTCTCTGTTCTAGCAAATGGGAACTTGCAGACCAGGCTCATTTAGTGGTGTCTCTCTCATGGGGGCACCTCTGCACTGGCTATCTACTCTGCTGCTCCCCCATAAGCCCCATACAGACCTCCACCCAGCTGTAGTGTCTGGCGCACTCAGCCTGTTCTACATGTGGCTCTGTATACAGTTCCTGGGGACTCCTCTCTGCATTCAGCTTCTCTCCAGTTCCGGGTCATCATGTGGCTGCTGCTTCTCCAAGTTGGCTAGTCACTTCCTGGTTCAGGAGCCTTTCTCCTATCTGGGCAGGGGAAAGGGATGTACAGTGGGAAGAGGGCTGGCAGCAGTTGTAGTCCCCAGTGTATGTTGCAAGGTTCATCACATGTGATGTGGGGAGGGGGTATTTGTGCAAGTCTCCCATCACACACTGGAAGCTGGGGCACTCCTGGAATAGGGATTGAAAGCTCTCCCCTTCCTCCCCGGGTCCAAAGAATGGGCCGACTGGGACCCTCTGTGTGGAGTACTGCATGGGTGAAGTCCAATCGGCCAGTTACTGAGCCAGCACCTCAGCACTGACCTTCCTGCTCCTGTTGCTGCCGGACTGAGATCTGTCAACAGCCTCACTGTGCTTCCCAGTGGGAGGAAGTGGAGAGAAGATGGGGCCTGTAAATGGCACCACACTGTTGACCCAGGACCTCTGACTGTGGGCTTCCCCTGCTCTCAGTGAGACCTAGTAGGTGGGGCTCCTATCATGTTTTCTCCTCTCCTTCCTAGCTTTAGGTCAAATGGCAGCCAAGAAGGGAGCTGCTGTCAGCTCCCAGTTAGGCAGGAGGTGCAGGGAGCTCAGCACCTGAGACTGGGGGATTGGTTTAGCTGCCAACAGTCCCAGGATGCTGGCCAAGATAGCACAATGAGTGAGTCACAAGTTTGTGCAGGGTGTGATTCAGGTAAGAAAGAAAAAACAAAGTAAACTCCAAGAACTTTGCTTTTACTATTTCCAGTATCAGCTTCAAATGGAGGGGTATGTCATAGCACCAGCCTTCATCAGCTACCTCAGGGCTGGCCAACCATCCAGCATCTCGGCTGATGCTGCACACGTGGCAGCTTCCTCTTGCTTGCCCACATTCCCAGCAATTACTTACACATCTGGTGTAGGTGTGGGCTAGTAGCAGGGTTCCCTCTCCTAATGCCTGTAACTCAAATCTCTTCCTCCTCTGTCTCTGGCATGCCTTCTCCAG